TATATATATATATAATATTTGGCTAAATCACCGAAAATGTAAGAAAATGATTAGATGTTGCCTCTCAAAAGTTTTTACATCAAAAAATGTAAGGAAAAAAAAGACAACTGTAGGAACAATATTTGGAAAAATTTTTAAGAGCTCACATCCATCATAAAAAGCTTCATTTTTTACAAAATAACAATATTAATAATAGATATGTCAACTTTTTATAGACTTTCCGCATAAAACAAATGTGTGCTGTCCACACCTAATAATTTGTCCTATTATAATACTCTGAGAAAATCATAAGATTTGCATTATGATAAAATATGAATATTAATTTTGTTTATGATGTTAAAAGTTTATTTACATCACATATAATAAAAATGAAATACAAAATACGCAGTACAAAAACTCATATAATTGTATGATAGATTCAATGGGCAGTATCTGAACTATTAGAACTTGATGTAAATTATGAATATTATGTCAAAATGAATGCAAGTAAAAATAACAGCATTTATTTTAATGTGGGCTCTAAGTCAATTTCTTAGATTCTACTATTTTTTTAGAACAATGAAGGCCAATGCATAAGTTCTATGTAGGCACTATACACACTCATAACAACTTTTATAATAATTTGCAAGATTTTTATCCATTAAGAACTCATTTGAACCAAAATATACATGCATGCATGCATGCATGCATACATACATACAAACATCCATCCATCCATCCATCGATGCATGCATACATAGATACATGCATATGCATACATACATACATACATACATACAAGCATACATGCATGCATACATAGATATATACAAATTAGTCTTTATTTTAAGCAAAGTAAAAAAAAAAGGCTCACATAAGAGTGATCACTTTTTCAAATGGTTGGGTGTAAGAAAAACTAATATTAAGCAACAAAAGCCTTTCAAATGTGTCTTCAAAGTAGTGAAAACGCAGATTGATGATTATATATGGAGACAAATAAACCATATACAAGAAAGGTTAGGTTAAGTTAGGTTAGATTAGGTTGAGAGATATAAATAAGATAGTAAAAGAATACCAACCACTAAGTTAACATTAAGAGTTTCAATATTATTTATTATAATAATTATTATTAATATTATTTTAATTTGGTACACTGGCGCATGTACACATGGTAGGTTCTTTGTTTAGAACTTGTTTAATTGAATTAGTTTTATCACACTAAATTTACAATTTTAAAATTTGGAAAAACAACTAACCTCGTGTGTCTGACTACTTGATCCATCACTGTAAGGCAGATGCACTCAAACGGGCTTGAACACGTGACCCTAGGGGACTCACGACTGACAACACAGCTACCAACAAAAGAGTTATGACACACGACACATTTGAATTAGATATATATATATACATATATATAAGTAGTCTCAGCTTTGAGATAGGTGCTTAAAAAAAACGAGTTATTTAATGTAGAACTTAAATATTTTGCTAGAATATTATTATTACCTAATTTTGGTGGATTTACATATCTAACGCTTGAATATTACTTGTTTTCATTTATATCACTCAATTATTTTTATATCACAAGAAAATTCCACCATTTTAACTTTTAAAATGTGAAATACACCTTTTCATACATATGTAAAATGGCTTGTATGTAAAAGATAAAGTTCAGAAGTTAGATATGTAAATACATAGGAATGGAGCGATATGTATGTAAATCTTCCTATTATTTGGGATATTATTATTATTATTATTATTTTTAGCCAACATATATTTTATAAAATTAGGCATATTTTTAACAATCCGTTGTATTAATATTTTTTTTTCATCAATAATTGTGACCCAAGCTGTTAAATTTGCATCTTTCTTTCCTTTTTTTTTTTTGGCACTTTACACATATAATTTAAGAATTTATATAGCCTTTCATTTAGTTGGAATAAGGATAAAGCTTATTATGATAATGAAAATGACATCCCTCTTATTCTTCTTAAATTCAATGGGACCATTATTGTTCATCACATGTGTTTTGTCGTATAAATCAACTTGCTACAAAAGATAAAAAGGAAAAAAAAATTGATTAAGAAATATGATAGAACCATACAATAAGAGATCATAAATGTAAAATCATTTTTTGATTCAATAAATATTCAAACATTGAACTTTCAAAATGATTTATGAAAGCTTAAGCACTCCTAGATTATGAACAAATATATATGTTTCTTCTTTCTTTCAAATCACATTAATCTATAAAAGCAAGTATAGCTCGAGCTTCTGATTCAGATCATCCATGACTGACCACCTAACTCTTTTATTTCCTCCTTCCTGCTTCCAATTCTAATCTCATATCACTGACATCCTTTGGTAATTTAAACGAAATAGTCCTTTACCGATCTTCATAAACCCCTTTCGCTCTTCTCAATCTCATCCTCGTCCAAATCTACGTGAAGCTTTCCTTATTACATTTATCACCAATATTCCTTGCACTCCCACCATCATTAATGCCATTAGGCTCATTCTTCAATCTCTTGATGGCCACTTGAAGCACAGTGCTCTCATTCATCACGTACTCAATTGCTCTCTTGGAGAAACATCTCTCTTTCAACTCACAATTACCTTTACTCATCCCTTCATTGCCAACTTCCACATTCCTAAACTTTCCAAGTTTTACATACTGCAAATTCAACTTGTCCTCTACTTTACAAGCAAAATCATCTTCAACATTTGAATTGTAATCGCCGGAGAGCTTAGTGGAGCATTCATGAAGCAACAAGCTTTGCCAACAAAGAGGACATGTTGAGTGTGATAATAGCCATGTATCAATGCATTGAACATGAAAAGCATGGCTGCAATTTGGGAGTAGCCTTCGTTTATCATCAAGCTCAAACACACAAAGGCAAACTACGCAATGAAAGAGGTCCTTGAACCCTATGATTGTTTTGTAAAGAAAGATTGGGAGAGTGTCTATTAAGTATTGATCCACACCTTCATCATGGAGGTGAAAGAGCTGTTGTAGTGGACCTTGGAAGGTAGAGGCAGTTGCAATTTCTTTTGATTCTGAACTAATTGGTTTGAGGAGAATATGGAAGATGCCACAGATGAAAAAGATGATTGATAGAATGATTATGGTGAGGGAAAAAATATAGTTTTTGATTAAGGGAAAACATAAGATTTGTGGTTAGGATGAGAAGATATGAAATTAGCATAAATAGTTGTGATGTTATGTTAATGCATCAAGAGTGGCTAATTTGATGGAGATTGGGAGTGTTTAATGGAGTGATTCAGAGAATTGGAAGCTGAGGTTATAGACTGGTTGAAGAATGGGAGGGGAAGTGGTATAGAGAAATAGATCGAGAAAAATGAGTGTTTAATAGAGAAAGGAAATGGACAATTCAGTGTATGAAGTTTCTGTTAAATAAATAATAAATAATAAATAATAAATAAATGTTACTGTTGATAAAGAATTGTAGAGGCCTTTTTTTGTCATTTGTATTATCTTTATTTGGCAGGGAGCTGCTGATATTGCTTATGCTGAGATGAGAGAATTCAACTTGGAAAAAAGATGAGATAACAAAGCCTCTTTTGGCAGAAGAAAATGCCAGCCTTTGAATTTCTTCTGTTTAATTATGAAGGATTTCAACTAAAAAATTATTAAAGCATGAATATATATATATATATAATATATATATATATTTACAAATCAAGCACTCTCTTTCATCCAATTTTCAAATTTTCACTCAAATATCAAAACCCATATTTTTCAATTCTATCCAATTCTCAATGGTTTTGATCGTCAAATGCGTAAATGCATCAGTTCAATAATTCAAAAAAAATCACACGGGTGTTTGATTTGTAAATATCAATGTTTCAAGTGCTCTGTATGTAATTAAGACTAAAATTTATAGGAAGATTTCATACACACCTATTGATTCCTATATATGTACTTACATAACACCTAAGTTTCAATTTTTAAATATATGCTATCTTATGCATGAAAATGTGTACTTTACATTTTAAAAGTTAAAATAGTGATATTGTTATGTGATATGAAAGATTAGTGTGGTAGTATGCTTGTAAATGGCCTAAATTTATAAATAAAGCTATGTACTTATTAATTGAATGCCCATGTTTTGCTTGCAAATAGAAAGAAAAAAAGAAAAACACTAAAAGATGTCTGATTAAACCATAAATGAGTTCATTATACATGTTGAAAAAAAAGATTACATGATACATGCAAATAGAATGTGTGTTCATGGTAATTTATAAAGTCTTACATGTTTCATTAAATAAACTATTCTCATAAATAATCTCTATAAACACTGAGTTTACAAGTAAGAAATAATTTCTTCTTCAAGCTTGACCCACTCCTTTAACTTCTTATAAGAATTACCCCCACAATTCAATTTTAAAAACTATGCCTAGGTGCATTGAATTTCCTTTTCCAAATGAAGTTACAAGCTCTCCCAAGTGACTAATGGAGTATCAATGTTGCTTCAATTTTTCTTGTTAAATTGGTGTGATTGGCTTAACATTAACTTGATATATTTTATTAAATTTAGATTTATACATGGAATATTATTGAAATCACTTTTAATTGAAAAATTGATATCCAAAATAAATATTAAGTATTTTGTAATTTTATAAATAGTTTATGTTGTCTGAATGCTCAAAAACAAGGTCTTACTTACCTTATCCTTGGACAATACCCCCTAAAATAGATTATCCCTGATTTTTTGGGGAAAAAATTGAAGAGAAATATATAAGTTGAGATAGGGGAATGATATCACAAAAAAATTTCATGAAGTAAAATAACCCTATCACTTTTCAAAGTAGAAGGTTGAAGTAGATCACCAAATCTACCTCTATAGTGGCTTTCCACCAAGCCCTTAATTGATCTTGGAATAAAATTCAATTTTCTCAATATCCAAAAAATTTTATCTCTTCATTTTAGCAAACATTTGTAGTCTAATGCATGCTCTAATGTAAACATAATGAGAATAGAACATAGGAATAGAGGGATCTCTCTAACTTAAATTAAAGGAGGAAAATAATCATTGTCATGTTCTACTATACACTAATATATGTGTATATCAATATCTTAATTTTATATAATTAATATTTTATCACAAGATTTTATATCATATTCCCACATAATTTAAAATTTTAACTTTCACGTGAGTTCATAACAAAAATTAAAATGCAAAAATAAAATTATTCAAAAACATTTATGATAATATTCAATCCTAAGTAGATATTCTAATGTAAGGGTTTCATCATTTTCTCTATGATAGACCCAATTTTTTTCTTGCTCTGACTTTTTCTAGTGTGTCCAAAAGCTTTTATGTTGCATCAGAGTCTAGGATATTTCTTCATAAATAACAAGTTTTGTATACAAAAAAATGATTAAGCGTACAAAAAATGTATTCAATACTATGATATAATAAAGAATTTATTTTCTAGTTTTAAAATAATTATTTTATGGTTTATAATACAAATTTTGATTTATAGATTTTATATAAATATCTTGTATTTTATGCAAATTATCTTACATATATGAATAGTTATCTTGTGCTTATATTTAAACATTTTTTTATGAGGAACTTTCAATCTAGGCAAATTTAGTAAAAAAAAAATTCTACACCATATCATTGCTTGACATATAAAGATAGCTTAATGCTTTGCTTACTCAAAGTTTTTTAGATTAACACATAGTTAATAATAAAAGAAATGCATCCTAAACTATTAGGAAAATTTAACACTGTATGCCCCACCAAAATATAATTTCAAGAAGTGAATTTGTTGTTTATTTATTATTTTTTTTTTTGAGAAATATACCCAAAAGCTTACTTTAGGACATAATACACTTAGAATTTGAATGAAATCTAGTATTATATAAGCAAACATTTTAGCTTAAAGTGTTCGAACCTTATTATTCCGAGCGCTTCTTACATCTTCAATGATTGTCATTAATGAGTTATGGTTTTGTGATAAAAATTTTAAGGATATACTTTCATCATTATCTTTCACTAATTCCATATGATTAATTCAATTATATGTTTAATTATTTAGATTTTAAAATGTTGTTAAAATCCGAATCCTAAATCCAAGACATTGTTAAACAATTTATTACTAGCCTCAAACTTGATCAAAATTAGTCTACCTTCAATTAATGATCTAACAAGTTGTAGCAAGATTGCTCAAAGATTCGATCCAAGTTTGAGCCAATTTCGAGCAAGATTAAATCTTGATTCAAATTTGTTCAAATATTATTTAAATATAGCACAAGTATGATTTGACTTTTTTTCTTTCTTTTATTGTATTTTTAGAATTAATTTGCTTGACTTATCTTATTATGTATGTAATTGTATGCACATGTGTATGAGAAATTGGTTAGACATTTTAAGGCTAGAAACATTATGTTGTTGAATATTACTAATTGATACTTGAATGTGCAACTGAAGTTCAACAAAAATGTGAGCTTTTTAATGAGATAATTTTATTAATTGATTTTTTGTTTTTTAAAATAATGTTGATTACTTCATCAATGTTTAACTTGGGGCGCCAAACTTACAAGAATAAACTAAAAATATATATTTTATTATTTGATGAGAGTAATCAATTTAAATTCTATTAGTCTTCAAATCTATATTATATGAAGTTTAAGCATGCCCATTTATCATAACTTTGGTCACTCTATGAAAATATAAATGTGATACAATTTAAGATAAAAAATGCTTCATCAATATTAAACTTTGGAGCACTCATTTGAAACATAAAAGGGACACTTTGATTGTATTCTGTTATATATATTGTAATTGTAGTTATTTGTATCAAAATTTTAATTTGTTATGTTATATTTGCTATAATTGCATTTAGTTATATCAAATTATTTATCTTTTATATTATAATTATTGTGATTGTATTCAGTTATATTTTTTTTTTGTAAGTTGTGTTATAACTAATGTAATTGCATTACCTTATAACTCTTATTTAATATAATGATTGTCACTGTGATTCTATAGATGTTTTGTTACGATGTAATATGTCATATGATGATGCATTATAACTATTAAATTTTAGTCTATTGTGTTGACATAAGAATTGAATCTATTTAAATCATGTTGGTATATTATTTGAACTTCATCCGAATCTTTCTAAACCATGTTCAAATATATAAGACTAAGCTGTAGCAATGCTGAGATTCGTCAAGATTTAAATATTACAAATTAGATTAATTATTGTTGCATGCCGAAATATTCACGACGGTAGAGCGATAATTTTTGTCTTAGCGTTCCATGAAGATCCATCACACACACACATATAAGAGAGAAGTAGTAAGAGAAGACATCAAAACTTTTTATGTGAAAAACCTTTGAAAAGCAAAAAAAATCACAGGGCACAACCCAATCAAAGTAATCCAATATGTAATTATGAGTACATAAGTTCATTCTTCTTCTGAAATAAGGAAGATTTAATTATAAAATTGATAATTACAATTTTACAATAATAGTCCACGTTTAATAGCCACAATTGAGCTATAATAAATGTAGTTATTATCGATAATAGTGATAGTGGACCACAAAGGCTGAAGTTGATTGCTAAAAAAGATGTGGTTTGCCACAAATGTTAAAGTCGGTAGTTGTAATAGCGTTAGTTCGCCATAGAGATCGTAGTTGGAATTAAGTTGTAGTACTAGCTAACTACATAGAGCTTAGTTGGTTAAATATGTCATAGTTAGTTGTTTTTGTAGAAATTAACCTCATAAATTGTAGTTGGAAGCTACAGTGATAGTTAGCCTCATAGGTCGTAATTGATCATATAGGTGGTAGTTGGTGCTGCGATAACATCGATTGGCCATAAAGGCTGTATTGGAGAGCTTTAGCAGCATTATCCATATAGGTCATAATTAGTCACATAGGTAGTTATGGGGAGCTGCAGTAGCTTTAGTTGGTCATAAAAAACTTATGGAAAAGTTACAGTAGTGACTAACCATATAGATCGTAATTGGTGCTACACTAGTTGGTGACTGCAACACTTCTTCCAGATTTATCATATTATACCATAAACTTTACTTGTCAGTATACAATGTTAAAAGAAAACCTTACAAGTATGGAGAAAGTGGTCGTAATTTGAATATGACAGTCATAAGAAGTTGTCACTAAGAGTTATCATTGA